GGCGCATGATGATCAATCAGGAATGACCTGTCCTATTCGGCCGTGACATTAGATGGCGGGACTTGCAAGGCGCAGGCCTATTAAGGTTTGTTATAGTGTCCGTGACGTCCTGTGAGGCGGGTAGGACGAACGAACGCGCTGCCTCGTGTTGGGCGGCACGACATGACCCGAGTATCGCGTCGAGGGTCAGTTGGTGGCATGATGGAGCAAGCGTGGACCATGAAAATGAAGGGAGACAGGGCCAAATCGCGTCTCGCGGGTTCGGGAACAAAACAGAGACCCGCGAGAGCAGCAAACTCGATTTCAGGCGCGCAGCGGAGACGAGACAGTTGGCCACGAGTGGTGAGAGCTGGAGATGGGCCGGCCTATATGCGGCCATGAAGCACAGTGGAGAGGGGAGACGGAGATGTCGGGCTGTTGAGTGGTGGCCGTGGGCTTCTTGCAGATTTAGGGGATTTCTCCGGTTGGGCAGCGACCAGCCACCGTCTTTTTACAGGACGAAAGGGTACTGTCGATTGTCGGTGAGGTGAGTCGATGCGTGTTGCCAGTCGCTCCCCAGCTGGCGATGGGGCTATCGAACTGTCGGCTTGCGTTTGCACGTCCGGTATGATTCTTCTTGCGGTGTTGAACAAAAGGTGTCTGACGATGCCTACTCGCAGCGTGGCTGTAGCGGGGCGTACGAAGACTGCTACAGCAGTGGCTGCCACGCCAGGGGAGCAAAGACCGGCGTCGAGACGGCTCCAGCGCCTGATGTCTGAACAGATTGCTGCCTGTGCTCAGCGTACTGAACCCTGAGTATGGCCATTTCTGTCCTGGGCTGGTGTCAGAAAGGTCAGCAAGGTTGCTTGGTGCCTAAGAGCAGTGGTGACCCTCGTCTGATGACCATGATCATGACCGTGTGCTATGGGCGAGAGTATGCGCTCTCCCATCACAGTCACAAACAAAACAACACGAGACAGATCTTGAGACTTTCCCCATGTGGATGATTCAGAAGCCTCGTCTGGCCAGTGAGGTCACCCATCCGCCATCAGACCAGACGGACAGACGCCTGGAGCGCCGTCAGGGCAGCAAAACAGCGGATTGGCGACTGGGGATTAGCAATTGCCCATGGCGAGGCGCGCGGGGGGCCAGGAGAGACAGTGGCTGATGTGATCCAGAGGTGCTATTGCTTGGGTTCCAGCAGGGCAGGGCAGGGCAGGGCAGGGCAGAGAGCACCATCAGGTAGCAACGCTGAAAGAGGGCCATCGATGCCCAACCTGGGACTGTCGCTTTGGGCGTCAGGGGAACCTGCGTAGGTACATGTAGGTAGGCAGCAAGAAAGAGAGGCGGAGAGCCAGAGGGCCAGAGAGCCAGAGACAGCCAAACGATGGAGGAGCAAGAGTCACAAGACTGGCGCTATGCCTGGAGAAGAAAGCGGTCAAGCCCTGTCCAAACAAGCCCTAATCACGATTCGCTACCCACACAGGCCGGACAATTGCTTTTCCCCCCACCAACAAACCTAATGGGGGCTGTCAGGGTGGAGTCTTGCTCTTCACCGTCTCTTCCTCCTCTCCCCTCCCCCCCCGGCTCGCCAACGTCTATTCCAGCTTCCATTTGTTCGCCGTCATCGCTCACCCGCTGCCATTCGTCTTCGATCGATCTCGTCCCATCCCCATTCCGACCAGCCCCCCCTCCCGCTTGGGAGCAGCGCCCTGGCCAGTTTCTATTTTCTCCCCGGGAGCCCTGGACCGACTGCCACTGGAGCTGGGGCTGGAGCTGGAGCTGATGCCCTCCTGAGCACAACCTAGGCAGCTTGAGTTGAAGCCCTGTTCTTCGGTACCTTCGCCATTCGCTTGTTGCCGTCAATGGGGCCATGGTCCTTGTCTTTCATCCTGTCGTCCCGCCCCCCCCCCCCGTTCGTTGCGCGAGTACGCCCAGACAGAGGAGACGACGACAGAGACAGGGACAGGAGAACGATCCATCATGACGGTCCTTTGTGACCTCATTCGCCGAAATCACCATCTCGTTGCCCAGTGACTCTTCCCACAGACACGAGTGCCGCGTCAGGCACCACGAAAAGACCAGCCGGAGGCTGTGATGTCTGTCGGTCTGGGCTGTCAACAATCCATCCAACTGACCGCATGTCGCCCTCGTTTCTCCTCTTCGCCCTGAAGGTGACCGCCGGAGCATCTATGCCTCTACCAACGCCCCCCCCCCCCCCCCCCCC